TTTCAGCTGCTTCGGTGTTAATGAAATTAAAAACAGGTGCACTTGAGGGGCAACAATTAGACAACCCCCAAAACAGTGGCTAGGGGTCAGCGTACCTATAGCACGAGGCGATACTTGGACCCTACAGAGTGTGTGTTAGGTAATCTGGCTCCTCTGGGATGGCACATAAATAGAGGTCATTTCCACAAGTTTAGCTGTGTCTCACCACAGTCTCAAAAGAAGGACAGTTACCCAAGAGAGCTGGAGAGGGGAGGGAAATGTTGTTAACCCATTAGCAGCACCGGAATCTGCTCCTTTGTCCAAAGAGGAAAATGATGAGCACTGCACCTGTTTTCCTCCCCTCACCTCAACCGGTCTCAAAAGATAGCTGCCCCTCTCTGTGCCTGGTTCTGCCAGGTTTTTCTTCCTGTTAAAAGAGCGTTTTTCCTTCCCACTCTTGCCAAGTGCTTGCTCAAAGGGGGTTGTTTAATTGTTGGGATTTTCTTTGTATTATTTTCGAGTTTATAATTTACAAGTGGCTTCCGGCAGCTGTTGTTGTGATTTGGCACAAAATAAACAAAATTGAATTGAATTGATTTGAATTGCCAGACCTAAAAAATGGCCTCCAGCAGCACTGTTGTGACTGTCTCTGACCATTATTATTATTATTATTATTATCATTATTATTATCATTATTATTATTATTATCATTATTATTATTATTATTATTAAAAGCCAGAGAGAGCTTTTGGTTAGTGAAGCCATGTTTTAAATCCTTGATCTGAATCCTTGAAGCTTTTGTTCTAAAACCACATTCTGGATCATTTTCCTTTCTGATTCTAAAAATGACAGTAATTTCCAAAATAAATGTCTTTTTTTTTTTTCCCCCAATTGTACATGTACATAATCTCCTAAATGAGAATATAAACTAATCGAAAAATTGTTTACTGAGATCACAGAGAGAGGAAGCCAAAGACCGTTCCAACAAAAAGACTTCCAAGCCTTTCAAGAGGATTCAGCCTCTGGTGGAGGTTCAATAAAATTCAGATTTAAGGCACTTATACCTTGGAATAACTTTCGGACCTGGAAGCTATGTCCATCTTTTATACTTTCTATGGCTCCCCAAAGGCCCCAAAAACCGTCAGTGACCCTCTTTTGCATGCAGGCCTCCATCAGAGGCCCCTGTGGAGACAGCAGTGTCACAGCTGCAGCCCTGAGCGCTGTACCTGGGAGTAGTACGACCTCCAGCGCCCAACTAGGCACACCTCAGCTTCCCCTCAACCCATCTGTCTGTTCCACGCGTCTCCCACAGACCACCGCTCATGCTCAGTCCTTCACTTTATTTAACCAGGATGAGACGCTCAGCACAATTACTGCTTTCCAGGGAACGCACACATACATGTCGCCTGCTCATACATTCTCAGACATCTCTACCTGCCGTATCTCCCCTTCTCTCCTCCCATCTCATTACCCTCTTGTGTGAGCGCCCTCACCCCTCCCACCCCATCCCTTCATCTCCGTCTCTGTAACCTAACTCCCCCCCCCCACCACGCCTTTTCTCTCCCTCTATCTGACACTCAGCAGGGCCGCTCTCCATCTCTCTCTGTGCCTCCAGGCAAACATATGCTGCTCTTCCCGTCAGATTCCGGTGTGTTTGAGAGAGGAGGGATTGTTTAATGTTTATTAATCACCTGTCTGTGGCGGAGAGAGGAGATGGGATGATGGAGCCACACACACGCTGCCTCTCCCTCTCTCATACACATGGGTTTACAGTCGCTCTAACACACACCAGCTCAGCTGTGAGGTTGGCCTGGTTTTCTTATTTCCAGCTGCATGCAAGTGTGCTCGTTTACTGTAATGCTTCTGATACGCAGACAAAACCGATGAACTTCTTGTTTCAGCTTCTTGTTAGTGAATCACAAAGATTCCTTTCTTTTATTTCCACTTAAAGGTTCAGTACTGGACAAATTTTTAGCAATAAAAGGATTTAAATTAGATATAAAAAGGTAAAAATAAACATATCCAGGGTTTAAAGTGTGGACCGTGGTCCAGTGGTGGCCCTCTAAACCATTTAATGCTGTCTGAACGCAAGCCTGAATACACTTGATTCATTCTCAGTTTATATTATACTTTTAATTACAGTTAGAAATCCATTTTTAATCTGTTTTTCTTTATATAAATTTGAGCTGTTTCACTTGATAAAGCCTTCTACTGTATTTTGTTGTCTCTAATTAGTTAAATGCATTTCATGATTTAGTTTTTCCTCATTGAGATATTTATGTTGCCAAACTTTGCTGTTATTGAGCTATTCTTTAAGCTTTTATATTTAAGGCTGTGTTTGGGGGTTTGGCTACTGTAACAGAAATTCTTAAACTTTTGGTATAAATGAAGGATATTTTATACTTTTGCAGCGGCACAGAATGATCCAAGGATGTATTTCTCTTTAGTATTTTCGCCAAAAAAATAGAAAAAAGTATTTAAAAACTCAGCTGACGTCCAGAAAAGTAACCACTTCCTCAATACCGGTGAAAAACTAAAAACCAGGACAGTGAAGATAATTAGCAACATAAACCACCGTCCTCTGAGCAGATAAACTGCTTTTTTTTAGCCTTTCTAAACACCATCTTTGAATATTTAGGGAGAGAAAAAACTGAGACGGAGCAGACCAACATCGATCTGAAACTGTTTTAGCTATTGTAGCAAAAGTTTACAAGGTTCATCTACTTCTCTTTTTTTTTCTTTGTGCCCCTCTTTAAAAAAAAAACAAACCCAAACTTTATCTACTGTTCGGACCTTGATGTAGACTGAATTGGTTAAATTTAAGTCCTCTTATGGAAATTTATAGCTAAAAAACTTCATAACTATTTTATACAAATGCACGAAATTGACTTTGGATGAGAATACTTCTCTTTAAAATTTGAAATGACAATCTCAGGGTGTATATATCAAACTGAACCAATCAGCCGTATGCAATCTTCTCTAATTTCAAGTGAAAATGTAGTTTATAATTTATTTGTATGTGAGGTTGTGAAGTCAGTTGTTCTTTGTTGTTAACCCTTCTTCTGATTACAATATGAACACTTTATTTTGAAAGCCCATTGACTGGTCTCTCTGTTAACACCAGAGCGGCTGCTCTGGTATAACCTTTGTTATATCATCTTAAATGGAATCAGATTCAGGGGAAGTTGTGTTTTTGTGCTAGCTTTGAAATACCTGCTCACGTGATCAATCAGGACACCTGTAAAATGTAACCTGACTGATAATTAATGTTTAATCTCTTCCTGACAGGTAAATCAAAATGTGGCAGCTCATATTTAACAAACCACACACCAGTATTACCTACAGGGCTCACTAGCAAACAATTTCAGCTTGTTCAAAGGTAAATATCATTTAACAGATGCGCGCGGCGATACATTTACCGACATACATAATTAAATCAGTGAATAATGTTTGAGTGAAATCTCAGCAGAGGATTGGAAATCAGCTTGTGCTGCAGCTCGGATTGTGTAGACATTGAGATTAACACACCATAACTGGCTGAGCACATTTAACATCGGCCAAGTTAAGCTGTTAAAATAAAAATATATACTGGAGATATGAACACAAGTGTGCAGATAAAAGAAAAGTTTCTTTGTGTTGGCAGAAAGAGAAGATTATTTAAAAAGACTACTTTTAATGTGTTTGTATCCAGAAGAAAGAATTACCACAAAATAAGCATTTTTTAAAGGTTAATACCATTACTTAAAAAAAGAAAAACTCAATGAAATTTAGGACAGCGACAGACAAACAGTGCATGATTGTGAAGGTTTATGAAAGAAGTGAATGTTTTGGATTTTATTGAGTGTCAGAATAGTTTGCTGTAACCCTGCAGGTTGTTGTTTGTTTCTTTTGTTTTCTGGTCTGTGGACTGTAACATGTGGAAATGAAGGAGCAGTTTGTTGTTCGTATGTCTATGGTGGGTTCTTGTTCATTTCATTCTCTTAAACATGTGAAGTCAAATTGATCATTGGTGGTCATCTGAACCCTATAATAATAGAATATGTCCTGTGTGTGTGTTTAATTCTTCTTAAAAGCTTGCAATTAGGGAAATAATAATAATAAAAACATAATTGTAACCATCCATTTTTGCTGTTGACCTTTTTCCCCTGCCCTGAAAGTCTTTTTGGGGGGTGAAAAACATGTGGGACAAACCAAGTGTTTGTGTGGGACACGTTAACAGTGGTGGGAGGAAGGCACATCTATTTGATCTAAATGCAACTGTTTCAACTCCTTTGCCAAGTGAATGCATTAAAACTAAAAGGAAGCTTAGCTGCTTTCTAGCCTGGCAACAGTAATAGAGGATGCACCCAGACTGCCAAATGCATTTATTTATTTTACATTTTTTCTGTTCATAATATGTCTAACAACAAAATAGATAACCCCTCCATTTCTCAGAAAATACTGTTGCTTCATTTTCATCACGTCCAACAAAATCTGCAAAGCTTGTGACTTCTTGGCGCTTTAAAGGGCAGGGTGCTAGGTGATAATAATAAAAAGCTTTCCCTTCACATGTTCTGGGTAAAAGCCAGACTTTATGTACGTCTTGCATAATCAGTGAAAATGTACGACATTGTCTCGAGATGTGAAAAAGTCGAACGAGGAATAAAAAATGGCGTGTAGCACCACATAAAGCAGGACATGTGGTCACCCTGCACACAGCTTGTGTGATCGTACTACTTCTCGCTTGTGCTACACGTGTTTGTCTTTACCATAAATCTCACACAATCGTAAGAAAGCTGCTTTTCTCTTTACATGCGCACGCGTGTTTTAATACACGTGTACGAGGAGCGTAAGCAAGTGTACATTACCCACATGCCCTCTCACTGAGTACAAGTGCAAAGTACACAGCCAGAAGGCTGTTCTCATTCAATGTGCAGATGAGCACACGAGAGAACGAGAAAGCACCACAGGGACAAAGAGCTTGTATCTCAACTGTGTGTCACTTTTTATTGGAACAGAAAAAGCAGGGAGGTCACTGGTACAAAAAAAAAAAAAAGAAAAAAAAGAGAGAGAAGCGATTGTGATGGTGGGTAGTTTTGCAGTGCGGTCACTTGGCGCCGAGGGTGAGCTTCTCCAGGTCATGGATGCCCTCCTTGTCAATCAAACGGACGGTAAAGGAGGGGAGATTCAGGATGAAGCGTTTGTTGAGCTGTGAGAGGGAGAGAGAGCAGACACAGGAGGAAATTTAACAACAAAATAAGATGAAAGGATTTGGGGTGAAGTTACAGAAAACCAAACTTTATTTAAAAAAAAAAAAAATAGATGCAGAGAAGCAGGGTAAGAAAAGAGGTGAAAAGTGAGATAATTTACACTCCAGCTATTTTTACCCCTGTTATATTTAATAATCTATACATGCCACTGTTCAAAAAACTCAAATATCCTGCTGTTTGTATGATGTGAACCTATTAATGTGTCAAGACTGATCAAAGCTCCCAAGTTGCCATTACATGTGAAGCGAGCGTTTCGAAGGATTTCAGTAAAAGGTGTGAAGTGCATTTCCTCTTTTATTCTGATCTGTAGCCACGAAAATATGCAAAGCTTTAAATATGAATGTTTCTGCGAGTTTTAAAATGGGGACGCTGCGTCACAGCTTCGAGCGTGGGCACCAAAACATGGGTTACCAGATCTAATCTAAACCTACGCAGATGTAATAATATGGTCAGAAGCCTCTTCTGTTGTTGAGTTATAGTGTAAATACAACACACAATATTTTCATCTCTTCTTCATTTATGGACGAGAACAAGTGCGGTCACATAAGACAGTTAGGAGGATTGTAATAAAATGATTCCCAACCAGTTTTTTACTGTTTAATTTATTCATGCATAAAATATAACCGTCAATCAGATGTCCAGAAATTATAAGTAAATGCACAGACTTCCCTAAGGAAAAAGACTTGACTCATAAATGTGCGACTCATAAAAGTCATCCCCAAAATATGACAGGCTAAACTGACAGTAAGCTTGTGGAATATTTGAATAGTTTCTCTTAAGTCAGTAGAGCAGGTCATCTACTGATCGGAAGGTTGGTAGTTCGATCCCTGGCTCCCCCCAGTCTGCAGGCCAAATATCCTTGGGCAAGATATTAACCCTAAGTTGCTCTCTGATGCATCCATCAGAATATGAATGTGTGTGAATGTTAGTGAGAACTTAAAATTGTAGAACAAAGTGCTTGTTTAAATGGGTGAATGTGGCATGTTGTATTAAGCGCTTTGAGTACTCCAGGAGAGTAGAATAGCGCTATCAGTCCATTTATATCCTAAGATATCACCACCACAAGATTGGGATGGGCGGATAACCTGGAATATTAATTCCAGGTGCAACACTTAGAGGCCACAGAGGCAAAATAATCAATAATAAGTAAAACAGAAACAGCTTTCTCATGTAAAAACTGGATTATGATCATAAGAGTGATCAAAAGTAAGAATACATTATTATTTAAGGTAATAGACAGGTGTTTCTGATTTACCTTTGTGGAACAATACTGACATCTTAAAAAAAAATCAGTCTGTGATCATGTAAGAAATCTCAACCAATCAAATCAGGAGGTGGACAGAGCTTTGGCCTTTCCAGGTTACCGAGCTCGCTGAAATTGTGGACACTGGAACAATCGAAGTAACTAAAAATGTTTTAAGTGTTTTAAAAATGGCCAGCAGTGTGAGCTTTGGGACATCTGCACAGGGGGTAGTAGAAGTTGTCTAATGCTACTTTAAATGTTTTTCACACAGAAATTAGATCGGGACACTTTCCACAGCTGTCCTTTCTCAGGTGTAATCCACATCAGAGATATTACAGTCAACTCAAAAACATCTGTCCTTGTATTCAGTCTTTTTCAACACAACCATCAGTACGAGGCCGAGACAGCTACATGACTGTGAGTCAAGAGGTTGTACTGTAGTATTCACCACATCACTTAAATAATCACCAAAAACTGAGAGTGAAATAAGTAAAAACGTGAAATGAAACAAAAAACTAACAAGTAAATCTACTCTGGAAACAAGAAAAATCTAAGAAATAAGAAGAAGAAATAAGAAATAACTTCACAAAAGTATTATAACTCTGACAGGAAATGGATGCTGTAAATACTATGGAGATACATGTATGGCTATTAAATACCCGAGAGTATGTGTGGAACTGTCAGACGTTAATCTTGACATAATAAATATTTGAATAAATATCGGCTTTCATTTATGCGAATGAAAAAAGAAACTGCTTCGACTCACTTCTTCAGCACACTTCTTCAGCAGATCTACCGCTTCATCCCGACTCAGATCTAGAACAAAAAAAAGAAAAAAGAAAATACAGTTTGTGGTGCATCATACAGGGGTCACAGGTTACTTTAACAAACGCTTGAATTAACATAAAAAGTTTGAGCTGTAAGACTGAGGAAAAAAAAAAAGTCATTTATCACCACCAGGAAAAAGTCGTTTATCACCACGCCTCGAGCCAATCTCCTGACCCGAGTGTGAACAAACTCTATAACCTCTGCGGTGATTTCATCATCCTCTCCATTTCTCTGTCTCACAGGAACAATGAGAAGAAGAGAAAACAACAAGATACGAGGCGTCCGTATGCACTGACCTGGTCTGTAGTATCGGTCAAGAATGGAAAGAGTGAGATAGGCTCCGTAGCCGTGGGCAGCGAAGGGGGCCTTGGCCAGGGAAGACAGGTAGTCCATGTAGTAGAGACCCGGGCCGTCTGTGTCATCATAGCCCGCCAGCAACAGGTTCACGTGGTATGGAGTCTGGAGACGCAGGAGGAGGAGGAGGCAGCCGAGGATTAATATTCAAGTTTATAACCGTGAACAAAACAAACTAAATGTGTTCAGTTTTAAACGCAACACCTCTAGAAACAGGTTCCTACGTGCGATTTAGTTCAGAGCTGCAGGATCAGAAATGTCATAAATCAGTGCTCATGAACACCTGTAGGAAGACTTCACATTCACATTCACCCGCGTGCAGCTCAAAGTTGTCAGAAACCAATGCAGAGACTATAAGCTCAGTTACCTCTGTCAAGGACACTTTATGATTCGTTTAGACTGTCTGATTATTAAAAGATTTATGGGTAAGTCTGGAAGACAGATATGAGATATGATATCATATGATATGAGTTTTAATATTTCTCTCATATTTGTTCCCCCTTTTTTAACTTTATTGCTTAAAGTGCTTAAAACCAAAGCATCAAAAGGGCGATTGAGTGGTTACTGCATTTCATCCTTGCTTTTATTGCTCATCCATCGAAATCCTCTGACAAGCCAACTGGATGCATTTATTCAGATACTGGAAAGCTGCTCCAGAAACACTGAAGACACGATACAAGTGTCTTAAGAAGCTTTCGGATATTTTTTGAGGAGTGAATTTTGGATCCACCAGCTGCAGGCCTCTACTCTCATCGGGCATCACATGTGGTACGATTTTAAACACGGTGCTATGTTTATTGTCTCCATTTAAAAAGTTTACTTCTCTGCTCCAATTAGAGGTGCTAACACTTGCATAGATGATTTTACTCCAGGAGCCAGCTCACAAGATTAAGACGGCACTTGAAAAGTGCAACTTCTCTTTCTCAACTTATCCCAAATAAATTGCTCCTAATTATCGACTTTGATTTTTCCACTTAGCAGAGACGTGGCGTGCTGCACACAGCGGCAACATTAAGAAAACATAAGCAGCAGTGTGACAGAGAGACACGCTAGCGGAGGAGTCAGAGAGCGGCTGTGCAACGGAGGGAGCGGAAAAGGTGATAGTGGGTCACAGGACAGAGGAGGTGAGTGTTTTGTGTGTTTAGGGGGGGGGAAAGGAATCGGGGTGTCATCGGCAGTGTGACATCTGCTGGGAGCCAGCGCCCCCCATCCCTACCCCCTCCCTCTGTCTTCATCCCTTCTTTCCCTTGCCCCCCCACTCCTCCTCCTCTCTCTGCTGCCTTCACCCTGTGCCCTGGAGTAGCGCCAGGGCTCATTAAAAACTTCTAAAGTCGTTTCTCTTGCCCCTACCCCCTCTCTCTTTTCAAATTACATCTTTAACGCTCCCAGCCTCGTCTCCCTTCTCTTCCTCCAAAACACCAACTTTCTATCTTCGCTGTTGCAAGCTCTTGTTTCTCATTTTCAATAGAAAAAAAAAATCCCTTTAAACCAGGACTAATTTTTTTGGGAGGGGGTTAAAACAACTTGTGGCCTAAATTCTTGACTGAAGTAGAAGCAGAAGGGTAATGTGTCGCACGAGGAGGAAAATGGGGAGTCTTAACGACAATAAGACTCGCATTACGCCAGGCACCTGCCTTCGTGCTTTAATTCATGTCTGAGACAACCTGCTTGTTTCTGTGACTTGTGGGTTGGCGCTGCGTGTGCCATGAGGGCAACGATGATCGCTGCGCTCCCTGTGGGAGCAGGCTTTAATGTGGGTGTATTTTAACGATGGTTTCGAATGCGCACACACACACTGAGAAATGGTGTTTGCAGGAGTGCACAATGAGCGTGAATCTCAGGATGAATATCTTAATGTGTGTGTGTTTATGTGTGTGTGTTTTAACTCCTATGTGAGCTTGCAAACGCCCCAGTGGCGTCACCCCCGCCCACCAGACAGCTGTCTCACTGGTTACATGTAACAATGATACAGTCTTGGCATCAAAATAACCTTCCCTTTCCCATGTCACCTCGGAGGCAACCAGGCACCTTGTTAACCCTACCACCTGAACTCACACCTCAGTTAATACGCAAACAATACACATCATATGTTTTAATCCTCCCTGCCGTGACTCCTGCTCACAGCCAAGCAAGGCGACTGTTGGGCCATGAGACAAAAGGCTTCACCCGTAACCCATGCCATCGCCTTAAGCAGACACAAACCTGCTTTAGATGGAGGAACAGCTAGCCAAGAATTACTCCAACACTGCCCCTCCTTTCATAGCTCCAATGTGTAACTTTACAAATTTGGCTTTTGCGAGTGACACAGTAACATGGAAACTGCACATTTTCATTTGCAGGACCAATTTAAGTGTGTGACCTACAGGCTAAAGCATGCACAAAAATTTCAAGAGGCAATAATTAAAAACAAACAAACAAACCCTGTAAGTATCATCAGAGAGTATAAAAGACACATGTAGCTTTTAGTTCTGAAAGTGAAAAGTAAACAAATGTGAATGTGCTTTAAACTTACGTTCTATCTACTGGCCAGTAGGGGGCGACTCCTCTGACTGCAAACACTTATTTATGTAAAAATCTGTGGTAAAACGGCTGTCCTGTGACCTCAGAGTTTAAGGGCTCAGTTGATAGTTTCAGGTCATACTGACTAACACGTGAAGTTGATCTAACGGTCACATCTGTCCCTCGCTCTTTGAACACTCAGCTCGAGGCTTCAACACAGACTTTACAAACTTATGGTGGATTTTACTGTAACTGTAATAATATTCAGGTCTGTAGTCAAGGGATACGTTTTCGGGTTCCTGCTTGTAATCCAAGTTCTACTGACCAATCATGTTTGAGCGGTCTTTACCTGCTTTGAGGTAACGAGTCCACGTGTTTGCTGAACTTCAGTCTCAAAACCATGAGTATTTGTCATAGCAGATCATTAACTGGTCTTTAATTTGTGACGATTGAATCTGGTTAATTAGAATACATTTTAACATATGGAGGTAGTTCCCTCAAACGACTGTCATTTTTCACCTTTTCTACTTCTAATTCAGCCTTAGTCAACAAATGGGCTTAATCCATATCTGGAAATGCCACAGGCTATCTGCTAATTATAATTTTTAGTCTCTCGCTCAGTGTTTTTGGTTTTAAGAATTTATGTGTGTTCCTTAACAACAACGGCAAACAAACCATTAAAACAAAGTGCTTATATCTCTTATCTGCTATTTAAAGGCGGCTGTTCAGGAAGTCGTAAAATATTGGGTGTTTTCCCCAAGTCAGGCCAAGTCAGCAGACTCGACAGCATGTTCCCCAATGTGTCCACCACCTTACTAAAAAAACAAAAAAAAAAACAATCAACAGCTCTAGTGTTTCTCAGTGAGCTTTAAAATGGTTTTTGCTCACATAGAACCAAGTGGGTACCAGCTGGCTATAACCTGAAGACAAATCCGAAGAACAGCCTGGGCAGTGTTACGTTTCTCCAACCAATCAGTCACCACTCAAGACAATGTTTGCATTTCTACCAAAAGTGCTGCAGAGCACTTCAGAAGGTGTACTTCACTCTAAACAACGCAAGGTCTAATAATCAGCCCGCAACAACCACACGAACACGACCGGTATCAATTTGATACCAAGTACATAGAGGGCCAGTATTACTGATAGTGAGGGGAGAACAGTGTGTCACGATTTATGAGATGAATCATAGTCAATTTTGAAATTCTGGACACTTCAATCACCACTAAACCAATGTGATTTTTACTTTCCACAACTTATTAACCAACAAAGCACACCTTTCACGTAAATGTTCTTTAGCCTATAAATAAAATAGACGTGACAGTCAGCACAAAAAGGTTCAGACATCTTTCATAGTGCATGTTTCGTTTTGATACTATGAATATTGGGTAGATCTGCTCACCTGTAGTAAAAGAACTTCTGAAACACTCCTGGTGTGATTAGAAGATGATCGACCAAATTTTTGTTGGTCACACAACCTAATAGAAACACCCTTTGTGAGTTCCCAGGGTTAGGCATCATATATCTGACCCTAAACTTCCTAATCCTGTGGCAGTGGTTATTTACAAATGTAGAAACACTTAACTTTTTTTGACTGGTTGATATTGCTCTAGACACACAAACCAGGAAACTTCTGGTAGCTTGCCTACAGATATCTGCATTTTTATAAATACTCCAAAGCCCTAATCTGGCTCTTCCTACCAAGTTCCAGTCTTTGTGCGATTTAAACGTAGCAAACTATTTTTTGTAGGCAGGAGAGAGGCATCCGTCTTCTCCTCTAAACCATGAAGAAACTTCTCTGTAGTTGTGAACACAAATTAAGGTCAGGCTTCTAAAAAATCATCACAAAGTCATCCCTAAACACTCCTCTGCCACGTTCCAGCACTTCCCTTCCTGCCATCTCTCCCCCCTCCCTCCCTTCCCCTTATTTTTGCACCCTGCCCCGGGGCATGTTCTCTTTATTGGCATTTCTCCTCAATCTGCTGTATTAATTGTTCATCTGTGCAGGAGCAGGGGAGCCGCGTGCAATATGGTGCCAGTAATTATTTGTACCCACTGTGTGCCCATGCTTAAAAATATTTTACAAACCCATACGGGGTGAGCTGTAGATCACCACTGCACTGCAGCGATCTAACTGTTGCAGCAGTCTTATAGAAAATGGTAAAAAAATTAACAGACTGAATGTCACCTACTTGTTCAAATGGGACATTTAAGGTTCCTCATCAGCCTCAAAACAGCTTAATGCTGTATTTACAAACCTTTTGATGTTCCTTCCATTAAATTAACATCATGTCTTGGCCTGTTGTAGCTACCAGTATCAAGAATCCCAATCTGCAGTGTCTTTATCCATGATTGAGGAATTTCCTTCTGTTTTGTCCTGGGACTAAAAACATGTTCCTCCTTAACTTAGTTTGCTTTTGTCAAATAAGCCTGCCTTTTGTTTCTATAAAGCAATAGATCAACCATATTTCCTTCTAACTTTATCATTTTTAGTCACTTTTACTGCAAACAAAAATGGGAAAATTCTTATTTACAAAACATCTGAACAGCCAAGATCACACATAGCTGTAAATATTAAAAGCAATCTAGAAACTATTTAAGCTAAATCT